GGGGAGGAGGGTTTAGGGCTGGGCATGTTGGATTGTTTTTAACTAAACTGTAAAGCACTTTGTGTTACACTTTTTGTATGAAAAGCGCTTTATAAATAAAATTTGATTGATTGATTGATATATATACTGGTTACAACCCTCCGTGACGCAGGTCACAAAGGAATACAGAGTAGGTTTGTACGCCCGTGTTCTGGGCACGGCGTACTTTGTTTCTTTAGGGGGGTTTTTGCGCTGTCTCTTAAGAGAGGGAGCGACTTCGTCAACTCACGTCGCGCTCGCTGGCCTGGCGAGGCGTTACGTTGCAGAGTTGCGTAGTACCTAGTACAAAAGCCAGGATTTTAAGACTAAAATAAAATAATCTGGTGCATGCACGAGTCGCTTTATCGCAAGCGGGGCGCGGGGGAGCTCGATTGTCGTTGAAATCACTATAGCGGCGGGGGTAGCAGGGATGTGTGGGGGTGGTGAGGTGGGGGAAAGCGCCGGAAGCGTGGGCAGCAGTAAGCTAGCGTATGCCAGTCAAGTTATCAGAATAAGAGTTGATAAATCTGGTTATATGCGCGGATCTCCTCACACAGGGCACCATAATATGTAGGGTAATAATGTGTGTTAAGCTATAAATTCTAAGAGAAGAATAGTGCAGTTAGTCTCCAAATCAGAGTCTGGCCGTCCTATTCGAGTGGGGGATCTGCTTTTATTTTTGGGCACCAGCAGAGTTAAAACTTCTGCACAGATCCAACTAATTTGCCTCGAATCAGTCTTATAATCTAATAGGTAGTGAATGCGTATATCAGCCAGAGAGACCCAAGATTTAACAACACAACGCTGATATGATTGAGTTAAAGGTAACGGGGTTTTATTGACTACATAAATGAAAATAGAAAATACGAAAAGGGTTTTCTGGTCACATTAAGCAAAGATTGTTATGCATATCATTTGAATCACACTTCCAACACGGAACAGTCTTACTTTGAGGAGCGTAGAGGGTGAAGAAAGGATTTGGGTTGGAGAATCAGCCCACGTGGTTTCTTTGTCCGGGCAGGCGGGAGATACGAAGCCAGCGAATCTAGTCCAACTTTGATCCACGCATATACAATTTAGTCCGGAATGAGTTGCGTGAGTAGGGTCCAGAGCCAGGGAAAGAGGCTGATGATGGAACAGTTCATAAGCTCCCGAGCCAGGAAGGAGGGCTGTGTTGCGGAGTAGAAGGCCCAATGCGTGCAGGCGCGGCCGTAGTAGAAGACACGTACCGCGAGACGCGAAGGGCAGGGAGCTGCGATGGTGATTTCAGGGCAAGACAAGAGGAAGTTCTGTTGCATTGTGTGTGTTTATAATGACTTCTAAAGGGGGCGCGTCCGTGACGTCATCCTTGTGCGCCTTCCTGGACCTCCTTCACAACAGACATGTTATAATGGCACAAACGCAGGATTAATACAGACATTCATAATACATGTACAGGCACACACCGCATTTACATTACTTGACAATGATACACACGTGTAGGGCACAATGCAGATCATTGGAATAATGAATCCAGGAATGCTGGTTTAAAATGTCCGTCCCGGGTGTGATAGTGTTCAGTGTCCACTGGGGGGCGCCTGCTGTCTCTGTGTGGTCTATGCAGAAGTGTAGAGGACAGAGTAATGTGTTCACTGACAATAAATGATCAGACCGATGGGTTGTGTTCGTACATTTACTCTGCACTCTGTCCTCATACAGTACAAACGTGTTGCTGCAGCCGTTACTATTCGCCCGTATGTGGCCAGAGTATCTGGTGCGTTTAAGGGTAGTCCGTACAAAAAGTATTGTTTAAACATTACAGACAGAATGGGCCAGAGAACTGTAGAGAAGTAAAATCTATGTTTATGTGTTTGTCCTCATGGTCTCTGTGGCTGCTGTGGTCAGATGAACTGCGTCAAGTAGAGCTCTGCACTTAAGCCCTTGGCCCGAGGGGCCCGACAACCGGGCTTTGGGCCGGTGACCGAATAATTACCTCAGACATGGGCCGGGGTCGGGCCCTTTTTATTTTCAGAGCGGCAGATTCAATTTACAAATCGCACCCAATGAATATAGCGTTCTATCAAGCTGTAGTGTTTGTTGTTCTGAATAGTGTTGTCATTGACCACACATAGCGTTACCTTCACGTGTGTTGTAGTTTATTGCGGCATCAGTGTATCATACAGCTGTGTATCATACAGCTGTAAGTAAGTAAGGAAGTAAGTAATGTTCATCTATACAGTACAGCGCATTTTACAGACCAAGGTCACCCAAAGCGCTATACAATGTTCAGAGTCAGATATTGTTCCAATCCTTCCACACACGGTGATGACGGAAGCCTGTGTATCATACAGCTGTGTATCATAAAGCTGTGTATCATACAGCTGTGTATCATACATCTGTGTATCATACAGCTGTGTATCATACAGCCGCAGCCGTTCACTCCGTACACACAGAACTCATTGCAACACATCCCTACAATGTATGACTCTCGCTTCTCAGCAAGAAGGTCCTGGGTTTGAATCCCGGTCAGAACAGGGCCTTTCTGAGTGGAGTTTGCATGTTCTCCCCATGTCTACGTAGGTTTCCTCCGGGTACTCCGGTTTCCCCTACCACAAAAACATGTACAATAGGTCTGTGCCTCCTGTACTGGCCGCTCCCATCTCTGTGTGGAGTCAGAGACTAAAGCCCACAACTGTTTTTACTCTGGTCTGTGAAAGGCGGTACATAAAGATTACTTCCTTACTTACTGAAAAAAAAATTCGGCCTTGATACGGGTTCGGGCTTGAGAAGTCTGAAAACCTGTCGGACTGGGCCGGGCTGGCTTTCCACCTCCTCGGGCCAGGGTTGGGCTCGGGCCCAGATAATAGGCCCGTGCAAGGCACTAGCCTGAACCGTAGAGACCCGCGCACGTTTGGTCGTTATGAGATGTCAGTAAAAATTACAGACATTGCTTATCCTGTGTGAATGCACTACAAGATCTCAGAAGGCCTCCGCAATAATCACAAATTAACAGTGGTCCACGGGTCACACTGATCTTGTCCGAATAGGGCTTTATTAATTATATTACTGGTTGTAATTCTACTTTACCTCCATAACCATCGCTCCAGCCCCAGAACAATCTAACCAAGTGGGAGTGAGCTACATACAGACTTAAATCGATTACAGCTTAACAAGACACACATGTAACTTATACAGTATTTCAGCCAAAAGTGGTATTCACTTAAGGAACAATTAAATATAGTTGCTTAATATTTAATTAATCTGCATTTTTGGTCTTTTATGTTCCAACCACTATGTTTTTTTTCTTTCTCGTGTTTACAGTTGGAGTTAGCTTTAGCCTTAACTCAACAGCCTCAAAGAAAGTGGAATTAAATAAACACATTTATAAAATAACTGCAATGTATTTGTTATTATTCAGTTTGGTCCATCTCCATGGAGACGTCCGAGAACACGACATCGTCATGATAGAACCCTAAAAGAACCCATGATGTAATTCCATCTCCACGGTGACCACCAAGTTCCCCAGCTGCTGTTGGAAAGGCATAAGCCCTCATTTCAAACAGGACACCGACCAGAGCAGACGTGTTTTTGGTTTGAGAGGAAATCAACAAAGATGGAGAATTTTGTGTTCAGAAACAGTTCAACTATTGGTGAGTACAGTGTTTGACTTCACACGAGTTGTTTTCATGGATCTATCATGCAATACAGACCGTGACATAGTGGATGTTTATTAGGACCAGACCTGGGCACAATAAGGCCTGGGGACTGAGTCTGGGGACCGGAAATAATTAGGGATGTACCGAATCCAGGGTTCGGGTTCGGATTCGGCCGAATATTGGCTTTTTTGACGGGGTTCGGTTTCTGGCCGAACCTTATAATTTTTCCCCACCGAACCCGAACCCTGCACTTACACTATGCACGCTGTGGCAGATTCGTTCGGAAGTGTAAATAAACATGCACTTTAGCGGAGGTTTATATCCTCTTGCTCTCTGTTCCTCTTTGGGTGCGCTGAGGTCTCTTCCTGGTCATGTGATCCCCGCGGACCAATTAGCTCTAGTTATACGCCGGTGCGAGGGGATGTTATGATTCTTGTTATCACCTGTAATGCGGTTCTGATGGATCATAAACTAACTGCCTATTCACCAACTTTATGGAGCCGATTACCAGTGCCAGGTACTTGTCATCTGAGCTGCGTATGACTGTAGAAGCAGAGTTGGTGAGTCCATGTTTAGGCAACTAGCCACTTAGCATTAGCTTCTCTCAACTTGTCTCTACGAGTTTGGCATATTTCAAATGTCCATATATGTAATGTTTTGACCTGAACCAGTGGAAGCTATTTATGCATGTATGGTGCTTTAGCTCTTATTTTTACATGACATGCACAGTAATATATGTACTTTATCACTGAAGTTTTACACTGCTGTGAACTGAATGTATTTGTGTTTAATGATAAACTTAATTATTATAAATGTTACAATAATAGATTCTGGTCGAGCTACATGTCCAATTTGCAATGCCGATTTGTCTCGTGGTGGTAAGGACCCTAAACAGTACACAACACCGCCGCTGTTAAAACATTTGCGTATGAAACATAAATGGACTGAGGATGGAATAGGATTCAGTATTCGGGTTCGGATTCGGCAGAATCTACCCAGTGGATTCGGTATTCGGCCGAACCCCAAAAACCTGGATTCGGTACATCCCTAGAAATAATAGATAATAGTTGTATTAGTAGAGTTTGAAATGCATTAAATCCGTATTCAAAAGATCACTAAGGAGCAAGTCTTTGTGAGTCAAAATGGTCCAAGTCCAAGTCAAGAGACACTGATGTTAAAGTCCGGGTCGAGTCCAAGTCATTGTAGATTTGTTGGAGTCTAACACCTCTTCTAGTTTTCACATGTTTGGCCTGAGTCACATCTTTACATTCACTTTTTCAGACCAAACCATAAAAAGGGAGGATCTCTCTAACTAAAGTACTCTTTAAATATTAGACCTTACCAAACCTGAACTGAATGTAAAACCGTCTGGTGCCAAAAATGTAAACACAATAAAATATAGAGATGATCTACTGATTTGTGAGGGCAGCTTGGTTCATTTCATGTCAGGAAAAGTGAATTAAATATACATGTGAACATATAAACACACATTCTATACATGACTAACAATTTATATTTCTGTGACTTTTGAGCAGAGCTGCGCCGCAGCCTTCGTCTGGCAACGTCCGGTTATTACTGCGCCGACGCCCAGCCGACTATCAGCTACAGAGAAAGACTGTTCAGGTAAGTCCAGCAAGAGGTCTGTATATATACTGAGACAGAGGTCTGTATGTATACTGAGACAGAGATCTGTTTGTATACTGAGACAGAGATCTGTTTGTATACTGAGACAGAGATCTGTTTGTATACTGAGACAGAGGTCTGTATGTATACTGAGACAGAGGTCTGTCTGTATACTGAGACAGGTCAATATGTATACAGAGGTCAGTATGTATACTGAGACAGAGGTCTGTATGTATACTGAGACAGAGGTCTGTATGTATACTGAGACAGAGGTCTGTATGTATACTGAGACAGAGGTCTGTGTGTATACTGAGAGAAAAGAGGTTGAGCAGTTTGTGATATAATCCTAATTCAGTCTTGTTGTGTTGTAGAAATACAGTACTTTATAATCATGAAGATTTGTTAATTTCCTCCAGAACCACTGAGACTGATGTGTTTTGTTTGTTACAGAGTCTTCAAAAGGAGAAAAGGTCTAACAAAGACTGGATATCAGCCGGAACCATTAGAGGAACAGCCTTCAACGTTGGATACTGGCTGTTCCTGGGAAGCCCCTCCCCCAACAACCTGGAAGCCTCTCTTCCCATTTTTGATCATTCCCATTTTGATAGTGGCCCTGGTGTTATTCCAGACATTCGCTCCTCCACACTTTGGTAAGATATACGGCCACAGATATCTAAGAATGTAATTAAACGTAAAGATTGTAACCCATATATAATTTCAGTGTCTTGGCACGAGGGACAGCAGTATTTAGGTGCCATGAAGACTGACAGCATGGAGAACTACGCCACCCACTCCAAGCGTAAGTAACGGTCCAGGACTTCAATAAGAGAACTATCAGCTACAAACATACAAGGAATATTCTCCTTTGTTTCAATATTAGTCCAAAACAAAACAGAACAAACAAAACTTCTTGACAACCACCATTTCTCAAAGTAGCCAACTACAAAAGACAAATGAGTGTAAATAGTCGATAACATTATTACCCATTGATACATACATCTTTATACTGATTTTTTCACTCTTTTGAAAGGCCAAAAGTAATGTGTAATATGTCTTTGCTTGTGTTTGTCTGCAGAGGCCACAGTGCTGCGGTCCTACTCCACAAGCACATACTGTAGGGACGGCTTTGTGGAGTGGATGTGGGGATGGCTGGCCCGTAAACACCAGTGGGTGCTGCATTCAGATCCCCGTCTGCATTTCGGGAAGTGCTGGCCCATCGAAGGAGACAAGGGCCAGCTCCATGTGCAACTGGCCCAGAGGATCCGCATCTCTCACGTCACTCTGGGACACATCACACCAATGCAGTCGCCCTTTGGAGAAACAACCACTGCACCCAAGCACTTCTCCGTCTATGTGAGTCATTCATCCATTTTTTCTAACTTTACCTGATGCTGAGTCGCAGAGGCAACCGTCTAAGCAGAGAGGCACAGACTTCCCTTTCCACACACACTTCCTCGAGCTCATCCGGGTCAAACATAGTCCCTCCTGTGTCCTATGTCTCACCCACGGGTTTGAGGGACCAAAATAATCACAGCCCTATGGCCATCTTTAGAAACAAATGTTTTTGTCACAAAGAGGTGCTAGAACACTTTACTGATTATCTTTATAATTCAGTAGTTGCTTTAGCATTTATCACAGCTGAAGCAGGAAACGGTTTGGCACTGATGTTTCATTTATTGAGTAGATTTGTTTAAGCTACCCTGGTTTAGAGTGTTCGCTTGTCCAGTTGATTAGTTACAGTTGATAGTTGAAGTGACAGAAGCCTTCCTGTCCAATCAGGTCCTCACAATGACTTAACCACATATGTGCTTCCTCTGTTTCAGGGAATGAAGACTCCTGATGGAGAAGAAAAACTTCTTGGAAGGTTTTTTTATGACAATCAGGCCTCATCCTTCCAAACGTTCGCTCTCCCGGAGGAGAGCTCAAAGGGGGTTTGCCCATGTGCGCCTGAAGGTGGAGACCAACTGGGGGAACACAGAGTACAGCTGTGTGTATAACTTCAGGGTGCATGGGACCCCATCAGAGTAACGGCCTTTCAGTCGTTACAATCAGGTAAGTAGAGGTAGGTTTATTATTTTCATGGAGCTGACTCGCTCCCGGTCGGACACACATGAAAGCCTCTGACAGGACGTGTGTAAAGACCAGTGGGGGAGGGTCCCAGCTCAAAAGTGGCCAAAATGAAGTGCGCTGACATGCTTGCAATACCACCCCGGGCCGATGAGGGTGGACCCAGAAGAAGAATTAGCCAATGCTAACATATAGCATTGGCAGACCTCTCAAAAACGTCTTTAGAGGATGGACCAAAAGTTGGCTCTTGGCCCAAAGCTCCGTTTCACATGTGTGTCAATGCTGAGGGGGGTGGATTTTTTTGGTCCACTCTAGTTTACTTGCTGTGAATTTTTTAAGTCTCTCGTTCAAATGAATGGAGTTGCGCCGGCTGACGCATGCGCAGATGCGTTTTTTCACAATTTTCTTGTGGGCGGGACCACTCGTGGCCATTTTGGATTGCTCCAGTAGAGCACATTTTTTGGCCCATTAGTTAGAACGGCAGAGATAGGCGTGACTCTGTCCATTAATATATACAGTCTATGGTCAAGACTGGTGTGGTCTGTGTTTAGTTCAACCAGTCTTTACATCAGCAGACACGGCTCAGGTCAGGGCTCAGGATTAGGACTGGGGTTTTAAACTCGCTCCTGAAATGGCTGCTATTCTTTGTTCCAACCAAGCAGGAAAACCAAGACAAATGTCATGATGTGATGAAATTTAAAGTGTAAAGACTCCATAGGCTGTGGGTGGTTCATTGCTAGCTTCATGAGTTTGAGATGTAGTTTTAGGGCATAACGTGGAGATGAGAGGCTTCTCTCTGCTTAGAAGCCTCTCGTCTCCACTCATGTGTGTTCGACCGGGAGCAAGGCAGCTCCTCAATCACTCAGAGGTCGATGATTGATCATCTCTGGCCTATGGGTGTCCTGGTGAGTGTCATGCCACATCCCAACAGCCAGATGTTTTGTGTGAGGACTGGGTTGTCGAGGCCCCCATAGATCCCTCTGTGGGTGGGGGGGTCCACAGGAGGACCCGCCCACGTCGCCCCTTCGGCCTGAGCCTTGGGCTCCGTGGGTAAAGGGCCGGCCTCCAGAGGCTCGCATGAAGGTGAGACCAACTGGTACAACTTCAGGGAGCACGGGACCTCCATGGGACTGCTACTGCTGCTGCAACTGCTACTGCTGCTGCTACTGCTGCTGCTGCACATCGAGGTCCGTTCTAACCCCTGTCCACAGCAGGGGTACACAGCAGGGGTCCACCGCAGGGGTCTACAGCAGGGATCCACAGCAGGGGTCCACAGCTGGGGTCTATAGCAGGGGTCTACACCTGGGGTCCACAGCAGGGGTCTACAGCAGGGGTCCCCAACAGGCCGTGGCAGAGGCGCCCTCTTGTGGCCGGGTTCTGCCAGAGGTTTCTTCCTAAAAGGGAGTTTTTTCTCTCTACTGTTGCTCAGGAGGGAATTGGGTTGAGACCCCCCATGGATTAAAGTAGGGACACTACTTTAGTAATAGATATTTTGACTAATCCATTCAATTCAAATAAAATACAATTGGACAATTTGTTGACAGTGTAATAATTTAGTCACTCAATATTCATTCACAGCATTCCATAACCCTGCAGAGAAGTTTAAATGCCAAAAAACAAAACTTCATAAGAGCTTATATCTTATTTGATAATTTTGAAATGTGAAAAAAGCTCATACTTCTTGTGTCCTCCATCTTTATAAAAACGGCCTCAGAGACTTCCTCTACACCACTGAGGATTTACCTTTACAGCTTCAATACCCTCAAAGGCACAATGTATTATGAGTAATGTGCAAATATTGAATGCAAGGAAACTTGTATCGCTAATGCCGCTATACAAGTTGACCAAGCCCCGTGAACATGGGACATACGAGGGGCCGAGAGATTAGAGGAACTCGTCCATATTTGGGCATAGTCTGGTCCTGCCAGCCTGCACAGTGGACGAGCTCCCATGATGCTTTGCACCAAATACACATGTGTGGCTCTCATGCACGTGGGCAGGGGGGCTCTGACCAATCAGAGGGCAGAGCTCTGACCAATCAGAGGGCAGCGTTCTGACCAATCAGACAGCAGCGTTAGAGCGAGAGTCAGACGAGCAGTTTGTGGCAGTAAAGTGTGGATTTAAAGAAAACCGAAGGATTTAAGAAGAAAAAAAGTTCAAGATGACAAGGGACACTAAAATTCACACAAAATCCAACCTTTATGAAAGCTGTTGGTGACTTCCTGTATCCGGTGAGCGTGTTTTTTTAACTACTATCATTCTGCTCTCTGTTTGCACTAACAAACGCATACAAAATCCACGTAGTGTACACCAAGCTAACTGTAAGCACTCTGAGTCAGCTGTACAGCAGCTGAGGTTCAGGTAGCAGTTGTTTTTCTGGTCTCGGAGTCTGTTGTGCGGGGCCCGGATCGGGACTAGCTTAGCTAAGCCTAGCCGCTAACTCGCTACTCCTATGGCGGGTGCTGTCTCTCCCTCAGTCCTTTTACTGCTCGAGTTGCCATATGGCGAGTCTAAACCCGGGATCCTTCTCTGAGGGTAGTGATAGATGTGTGAAGTGTAGGCTAGCGCTAGCATTAGCGACAGCGGAGCGCAGCTTTAGGGAAAGGCAGAGGAGAATTAGCGAACCTAGCCTCCCAGCCCGTCCTCCGCAGCTGGGACAAGACCAGGATAGTAATGGCTTTGTGACTGTTCGGAGAGGGCGACGTGTTGTTGGTTGTTTCCCCATCGGGCCTCCTCCTGTTAGCATTTACAATCGCTGGGGACGCTCTGTCTGGCTGCACCCCCGCGCGGCCGGGCGGGGAAGAAGGCCCCGCTGAGAGAGCCGATGGAGTCGCTGATGCGCTGGTAATTGGCTCCTCTATTGTTAGAGGTGTTAAGATCCCAGGAGCCACTGTTCGGTGCTTCCCTGGGGCCAGGCTTGGTGATATTGAAGGGAATCTGAGGCTCATGATGACCCACAAGCAGCGTTTCCGTCGAATTGTTATTCACGCGGGTGGTAATGACGTTCGCCGGAAACAGTCCGAGGTATTGAAGCTGCAAGTCGCCGCGATGTGCAAGCTGGCTAGCACAATGGCCGACACTGTCATCTTCTCTGTGCCCCTACCTAGCACTAGCAGTGCAGAAGCATTCAGCAGACACTCGGCTTTCAACCGCTGGCTGTCTGGCTGGTGCCCTCGAAGTGGTGTTGTTCATGTTGACAATTGGAGTGCCTTTTGGGGAAAGCCCGGTCTCAACCGCTCGGATGATATCCACCCAACGTTGGCGGGTACATCCGTTTTGGCTAAGAATTTGGCCCTGGCTCTAAATTGTTGCTGCGGGTGCAGAGCTGCTCTGCCACAACCTCTGAGCCCCCATCTGTTCAGTTACTAGCCTCGGAAGCTAGTCAGATTGAAACTGTGTGTGTTCCTCGCTTGATGTCTAAAGCACTATATGCGAGGAAATCTGACCTGGGTGTCAGACACAGGAATTTAATAAAAGTTCAGACAGACAGAAATAGTTCTAAAAGTAGGGTTGTTAAAGAAGCTATACCCAATTTTTTTTCTAAGTAGTTAATACAAATGCTTTTTACTACATACAAGTTGTATCATAATACATAATTTAATTGAAAACTTGAGGTCATTGATTCAGCTGTGTATGAAATTTATGCCGTGAAAAGTGCTGTGTGGAGTCTTAGCGGGACACTCGTTCTCCTCCACTCACAGAACAAGGAGCGACCAGCCTGCGTCCTCTAGCCTGTACAGCGCTGCTCAACACCAGGGCTTCGACTTGAAAATTCGAATATAATTCTAAAATAAAATATATATATATACATATATATATATTCGAACAAATATTAGACAGCCCTTATAATTCAAAATGTATTTAATGACTGCAAATAAAATAGTTAGCTCCCAAAGTTTCAAGGTAACTTCCGGGTTTTTTGCGATCGCTTTTTGTCACTTTAAAACATTATTTTTGTCATGAAAACGTTGACATCAAATTCTGAAATTGTCCGTGCATGTGTGTTAAGGATGTATATGTATACTGTATTGTCCGATTAACGTTTAATGGTGTTTATTGATTGATATGTATTTGTTTATTGAGCGTGGCTAGCTCCGCTAGCTTCTCTACACAGACAAGTGTGCAGAAAAACTGCACAATGTAGTGACAGGCGCTGATAGCTTGTTGTACTTGCAAAGTAACGGCAGTATTTTGCATACCTGAATTACAAACGGAGATTGCATTGGGGCTGCGGTCATTATTGATTTGAGAGTTCTGTTATCAAGAAAAAATGATCGGAAGAATTGCATTCGAGTCAATGGAGTGCTGCTGCTGTGAGGAGCTGTATAATAAATTCTAATTAAATATTAGAATATATTCTAATTTTTAAATTAATACATTCGGACGCAAAACTAGCGGTATTCTGTTAGCAGTGCATTGCTTTTGTACCATTTCATCAGTGATAGTTGTACAGCTTACAAGAAGTTGTACTAATGCTAATGTTAGCATACGTATCAGATCGCAAATAAAACTAGGTGGCTCTGTGTTATGAGAGCGTAGGGGAAATGAGAAGCCTGTGAGCGAGTTGGGGGGCGGTGCTAAACATTCAAACATTGTAGAAACGGGTATAGCGCCTTTAAATGTGGATTAATGAACGTCAGATTAATCTCGTCTAAATCGCTTCTCATAAACAAACTTATATAGACAAAAACTTGGA